GATTCCTCACCCAATGTGATGGACACAACCTGCTTTAACATACAAACTGATTTAGAAGTACATTTGAGCTAAGTGCTAGACTTCCTTTCAATTCCACACTCAATGTGAAGAACATTTCAGCCTGCCGTCACACACACCTTGATTTTAAGTCCCCACCCCGTCTATGCCACTCCCCCACACTGCTACGTTCATTAGCAGTAAGGCCCCATTTGTGTGAGCCAGGTTAATAAACAACAATAATGCAGTATTACCATTCCTGTTATAATTATCAACGCTAAGATAAGTGACTAAAAATGTGGACTGTACAAATAATGTAAATAGTTAATATTATTGTTAGCCTTGATCATTCATGTATGCAAGGTTTTAGAAGTATATTTGAGCTGAAGCTACACTATACCTTTCGATTCTTTACTCGATGTGACAAACATTACTACCTGCTTTCAGCAGCCTGGAAATCCTGACTCCTCGCTGTATCAGCGATTGAGTCTGGTCATAGTCTCATCAGGTACATTTCCAAGGTGGGTCAAACCTGATCAAGCAGAAAGCGAAATGAATCAATTAACGCATGATGTCAGAGAAAAAAAAATCTCTTGAGATAAATGATTCCAGTGCCATGAGCTGCTGAGGTTTTAATGACTCTTAAGTGTTTCTGGTTATTTAAAACTGATTTAATGCTGAACGATGGTAACAAACAATCGTCTCTCCCACACAGCATTTTGAATGAGGATGTGGATTGCCAGGCTAGCCTTCACACACATCTCGATTGTAAGTCCCCACCACGTCAGGCTAGCCTTCACACACATCTCGATTGTAAGTCCCCCCTATGCCCCTCCCTCACAATGTTGCATTAATCAGTAGTAGGGCCCTATTTGTGTGAGCCTGGCTATGATACAAGATTAATACCAGCAGTATTTTTACTTTTATTATCAATGCTAAGATTAGTGAATGAAAATGTGTTCTGTATTAACGTTATAAATAAATAGTTTATATTATTGTTAGCCCAGATCATTCATGTATGTAGACTTTTAGTATATTTGAGCTAAAAGCTACCCTATACCTTGCAATTAAGTCTGGTCATCGTCTCAAGTGCGTTTCCAAGGTGAGTCAAACCTGATCAAACAAAGCGAATGAACCAATCAATGGAGAGTGGGTGTGACGTCAGAAAAAAAATAACGTCTTTTTTTGTAATAAATGCTTCCAGTGGCCTCAGTTGCTATTTTTTAAATTCCTCTGTTTCTGATTATTAAAGAGTGATTTATTGGTGAATGTTGTTAACAAACTATCGTCTCTGACGTGCGCCAATTTGAATGAGGATGTGGCTTGCCAGGCAAGCCTTCACACACAATGAGTTTGTAAACACCCCCCCCCCGCCCCCCCACTGTTATGTTCATCAGCAGCAGAGCCCTTTGTGTGTGAGGCAGGCTAATACACAACATCAATGCTAGCCAGTGAACTGGTTGCTGCTATGTGATGAGGATAGCTAAAGATACAGTAAACATTCCCATCCCAGAAATTCTATGAAAAGGAATTTCCTTCACCCGGAGTAAAAACCTATACATTAACATTTTCACTACGATATTACATGTTATCGTAACTTACGTAAGCGGAAATTCCACTAGCCGTAACCCGGATGGAGACGGAAGGCCGCGGCAGCTTAAATACACGCAACGCCCACCCGATGCGACGGAAAGACACGACGGAAGACACATTTTCACTTTCGCCTTTTTCTATCATCAGATCCGAAATGACGACGTGTAAGTGAAAGATTTTAACTTTATTCACTTACAGCCCGTAGATCGCGGCACCAGCTTAAAAAGCAGTACTCACTAGACACGACGGAAGAAACGTGTTCGCTTCGCCGTTTTCATTCATCAGATCCGAAACGACGACGTGTCAGTGAGTTTTTATTGGCGTGCATTTTATTGTAATTGTGAATGATTTTAACTTTATTCACTTACGTCCCGTAGATCGCGGCACTAACTTAAAAAGCAGCGCCCACTTGACATGACGGAAGAAACGTGTTCGCTTCGCCGTTTTCATTCATTAGATTCAAAACGACGACGTGTAAGTGACTTTTTATTAGCGTGTGTTTTACTGTAACTGCGAAAGATTTTAACTTTATTCACTTGCGTCCTGTAGATCATGGCATCGAAACGTAGAACTGTAATGACTGTAGTGGAGCCAGTGAAATGCATCCGTTTGAGCGAGGCTGGACACAAAGTAAAAAGCATCTAGACACTTGGAGTCGGAAAGAGGCAAATCTACGAAACTTTAAAAAACAAGGCATCGATTCAACTCCTGATGACAAGCCACCATCCTGCAAGGAAGCAATGCAAATGGCAACAAAAATCCTTCAGTTTGCACAAGAATCACCAGACATTGGTGATCAACGGGACAGTTACTTGCAACTAGCAAGAAAACCGAATGGCATGCAGGCAAACATTGTCATAAACCAATGAATGCATCCAACAAAACAATCCAAAATAGACACTTTTTTTCCCCCAAGACAGAAAAAAATAAACATTAAAATACTGTACGTATTGTACTGCTGTGATTTTTTTTGATACACATGTATTCCAGTTTTTGTTATATAAACAGTTTTTGGACAGTATATTTTTGCATTTTATTGATTGTGTTGTGACACGTGCATTTTGTCAACATACTTGCAGGTTCATAAACGACATGTATCATGCTCATTTCCCAAATGAGGAATTTCTGTTATCAGGACAGATTGGACAGCGCAAACACGAGTCCGTACTGGAGAATGTCTACTGTAATTACATAATTACTAAGACGTGTGGGCTCAGATGCTTCCAGATTCAGAGAAATGGTGAGTGCGTATTTTACTTCCATGAAACTATGGTGCCGTGAAGTTTATTTGCACCTTATTAGGACATGTATGACGGCATTCGCTCCGGTGTGCTCAAGGTAGTGTCCGATAGCCCGTGCTTCTGGTCCTCCAATTAATGTAGCAGGCAACTAACTGCAGGTCAACACATTGTGGCTAAATGCAAACATCTTCGCAGTCATAACTTCAACGCCTTTGTTTCCTTCGTGGCTTTGCACTTTACTTTTTAAACTACTGTAGTCAGGATTATGTACATATTAATATATGAACGTACATAGTTGGCCTATTAGCTGAGTAAGACGAGGCGCTGTAATTGGCGTTCGATTGTCACGTCCTTGTGCTAACCATGTAGCGCGCGACCATGGAGCCAATTTTGTTTCGATAATGGCGTAACTATGGTGACCTAAACTGATCTTACAAATAGTATTTGCGAGACTGTTGCCACCACCATGGTTCATGGGACATTACAACATTACTCGTTGATTATTATATGTCAGATTAAAATGATACATACAGAAAATAGTACCGATTGTATTGTAATGGTGCATGTGCGCAAACACAGATGTGTTTAAAATATACTGACTGATCCAAACAGCCAGAGACAGGAATAACAGCAGCAGGATTTGTAATCCCTGAATTTGAAAAGGCCATTTACTGTAATTCTTGTCAGAAATACAGTGATAATTTTACAGTTCACCCCCAGCGAGTCCCAGGGACTCGCTGATCAGAAAAGTATGAGTCCCATTATGCATTTAGAGAGTCCCAAATTTCGAATTCTGAAATGGTCTACTTATTCAATTGCATATGATAATAGCACAAACAACAACATACACATACAATTACAAACAAATGCTGCAAAAATTTAAATAATTCAGTAGCAGGCCTGAGGATTTCGGAAAGTCACGGGAACCGTTTTCCGGTTCATAATCAAGAATTCAGAAACTCAAAAGTATAATGTTTCAAGAGTAAATGTTTGAAAATTATCTATGAACAATGAACATTACTTCAGGAGCTGTGTTCTCCAGGTTTATTCAAAAAAAATAAATGGATCAAAATATGATGTAGTCATATGGCATCATGAATACAGCATACCACAAAATCAGAGTTTTTTTTCCAATCTCACACTGCAAAGATTAATTTACTGATAAGTATTGATGTGGCTTGACATCCTCTTCCCAAGACGATGCATGTGTAATCTACTATCAATTTGACGAAAGAATCTACCACACGTCATCATTAGTTCTACCAACAGTTAACATTAGCATTACTACACCTTGTGACGAATGTTTTATTCATAAAGTTACCATGCTACAACCAGTAAATTATACAATAACCAAGACTGTTTCATAATATTTTTCATAGTGATTAGCTTATAGATCTAATGACCAACTTGCCTCGTAATCGTGCCTCTCGTCGTATCTTGCTCTCGTGTTCTGTGCATACATACGTCACAGGTGAGTTTGGTGATACGCCCTTCGGACGATTCATACGAAAAATCAGATTGGCATTCCCATTTCTTAAATGTCGTAATTCGTAGACCTTTGTGAGTTTTTTTTCGCCGCCATCTCAAACTTTCATCTGCGCGATTCCTCAGTTTGCGGACTAAAATAGCAACCCGCATGCGCACATAACATTATCTGTTCCGCCCCCCCAACACTGAAAACAAAACAAAACGAAAGTAAATTAGAAGAAACACACTCACACACCACACCAGAAACACACAAACAGACACAGTGAAATCGCGTTGATCACACAGGAGAGACATAATCGTGTACAGTCAACTTGTGTGCGGTGACTTTTGTGGTTAAACGATTTTTCGGTATCGTCAAAATGATGCCACGGAAACGACACACTACCGGTTACGACAGTTCCCGTGAAATCCTCAGGCCTGCCGTAGTTTTTTTTTTTTTTTTTGACTGAGAAATTTCCTTGCGTCCCAAAAACACACATTGTTTGGAACTGTGCGTCCCGTGGGAAAATTATGCGTCTTGGACGTGGGACGCAGAGGTAACAAGATGGCTGGAAATAAGGACACTAATCATTTAGCTCATTACCTTGAATAGAGCAGATCAAGCCATTAACCAAGGTTGGCGATTATGACAAAAACAATGATTTATTTATTTTTTAAATATATGTCCAAAAGTGCCACAAAATATAATCAATAAATAAAAACAAACTACACGATTAACATCTCTAAATGTACTTTTTGTGTTTGCAGGATCAAAGTCTGGATGCGGCGCATGCAGATGTATAAAGAACACCACAATGCATGTTTGGAGAGATATGAGAAGGCTCAAGCAAATATGTCAACAAAGGTACAAGGACCTGAATTCCTTGAATGCAACATTCGTTGAACTATACTTTGACACAAATGAAATAAAACTATTTATTCACTCATGGACACTGTTTTAATACTTGCAACTTGAGTTGCAGTGTCAAATCTTTCGACTTCGGAAATCTGCATGTTGTGATACGTAATATCTGAAGAGAGAAACCCATTTATCCTGGAAGTGAAGGTTCTTTCATTGACAGTTGATTTGATATATTTTTTTGTTTTTCACATAGTTCACAAAGAGAGATCCAGTGACGACAACAACACGGTGATCCTTGACCACACTTCAAATGATGTTGGTAGAAATGCCCTGTTGGTAGAAGTGTCCCTGAGTTCAAAAGGCAGGTCACTATCATCGTAAGAATACCGTATCTATCATGCTTAATCTATTAATCATAGATATGGGATAGTAGAATATTTTTTCTTCAACCTGGATATAACATTTATTGGTATGTTTTGAATCTCTATTAGTTTATTTACTCTCATAATAATAAAGGATACCAGCAAATCAGGGGACAGTATTATACACAAGTACAGTGAGGGGGAAAAAAACGCTTTTCAACTGTGATTAAAGCGACACTCGTATGTGCTGCGTCATTTACGGTCCAACTGGTATATGCCTGTCTTTGTTACAATTGTATTCCTATTCCAATGTCTAATACGAGAGTGAGCATACTGCAGTTCAAAAGTTAAGGCACTTAAATGATTATCGATGTTTTATTTTTTACATTTAAAAAGTTTATTTTTTTCCCAAAAAATAAATGATCGTATGAAT